TTTCAAATACAACCCTACTGACACTAAGCCTGTCAAATGAAAATTTTGAAATTTCAAAAATAAAAGAAACCAAGACTAAGAAAAAATACAAAAGAAGGCAGAAAAAACAAAAAGAAAAACAGACAATAACCGAAAGTGTTCAATGCCGCTAACAAATAAACCAGGACAGAGCAGTAACAGTAACCAATAAAACTGCACAAAGAGACTAAGTCTAAATCATTATTCCGAATTTCATGCAGAGTGATCATGAGACAACAAGCACCAAGGAAGAAACAGTGAAATTAACCACCTAAATACTAACATAGGAAAAAAATATAGATAATGATGATGGCTGCCCACTTGTATGAGGTTGGCCACCAACAGGTTACAGATGATAGGGTTCATTCTCCAATTTCTGGAAATTTGATGGTACCTGTGTGATTGTCAATAGTTAAACATAGCTTGCACAGCACCATATGAACTCTCGGCATCATCATCATCTATGCACTGTGTCCTTTCAGGATGTGTGTGATCCACAACTTCCTGTCCTTTGTAGATTTGTAAGATTTGCTTTTTTGCTATATCTCCTAAACCCCTGTTCTGCCAACCATTTACACAAGCTCATTAATTAGGTTATTCACTACTTACCTCTGTCTCCCTTGTCTTTAATATGTCCTGTGAGTGTCAGATTTTCCAAACCCTCTTTCCCCATTATGTGCCCCAAAATTTAAATTGTTTCTTATTGATTCTAAGTGTCCTTTTTGTTGCCATCTATTTTTCCTAAAACTCCCTTGTTGCTCACATGTTCAGTTGATGGTATTCTCAGCATCCTTCTGTAGTACCACATTTCTATTGCTTAAGTCTATTCTTCATCTGTGAAGAGATTGTCTAGCATTCACTGACAGCTATAATTCTATTATTAAGATAAGGAAAAAAACTACAAATGTTATTAATGTTTTATCTTTAAATATTTTTCAGTTTCATATTATTGTATTTGTGCACCATGATGTAATGCACAAAGTGACATACAAGCAAATTTCTTTATTGGACTAAATGTATCTCTCAGTTGTTAAATATGTTTAAAATCTCACTATAGCATAAAAATAAATACCAAGACATTACACCAGTCAAAACCAAAGTTAACATTAAAATTTAAGCTTAAAAATGTAAAGCTAGTGAAATACCTGATGACTGACAGTTGTCAGAATATTCATGGAGAAGAATTCTATCTTTAGAATCAATTTTCATTTAAATTTACCTCATATACTTCTGTAACATATTTGAAGGCTTATTTTCTTTTAATTTTGCTGACGGGAGATATTTAATGTTAATTTTTTGCAATACTGAAATCCCAAGAAATATAATGTTCTTTTTTACATTGTCTATCTTCAAGACATAAGCAATCATGGTTTTCCATAATTTCCTGTTCTTTGTAGCTCTGAATAAATTTTATGTTTTTGTTATGTCTCCTATACCCTATTCTGCCATCTATGTATTCAATTTTGCTAGGTAGGTTATGTGTTTTTTTCTTCTATCCTTCTTGTCTTCAATCTGTTCTGTGAATATAAGATTTTCTAATCCCTCTTTCTTCATTATGTGCCCTAGAAATTTCAACTATCTCTTCCTGATGTTAAGTATCTTCTTTGTTTTCATTTTCTCTAAAACTTCGTCATTGTTCACATGTTCAGTCCATGGTATTCTCAGTATCCTTCTGTTAGAACCATATTTTTGTTGCTTCAAGTCTCTTCTTTATCTGTAAGAAGATTGTCTAGTCACTTCCATATAAGACTTATATTAGTTCAGTACACTTTTCTTTGTTTCTAAAAATTTTTTTTGTTTCTTAATATTTTCTTTAGCATTTGGAAGACATCTTTTGCTATCCCAATGCATCTTTGAATTTCACTGTCACATTTTACATTCTCTCTTAAAACATTTCCCATATATTTAAATTGTTGTACTTGTTTGATCTTCGTATCTGTAATTTGTAATTTGAATGTTGTTTTGTTCCTTTGGATTACATTCTACATTCTATACATTTTACCTTCTTGCAATTGATGTTAAGTTCTTTTTTCTTACTTTCTTTCATTAACTTCTCTAAGAGTTTTTGTATTTTCTATATCTGCTATCAATACTGTGTCATTTGCATAACTTATGCTCAAAGCAAAAAAAAAGCTGACTATTTTTTCTATTTTCTATATTTTCTATTTAGTTGTTAGTTTAATATTTACAAAATTCTGCATTAGCCATATGGTATATCATATGGCAAATGAAGGTTTTTGTATAAGTTGTCTGTTACATTTGTCTTTTCAGTAATATGTTATCATTCAACAAATGAAACTCTATTTTCTAAAATTTTATAATATAATTTATAAATCAAAACTTTGGTTTTAAATGTATAGAATAAATGAGGCTATAGTTTAATACCATAAATTTTAAGAATAACACTTCTTAATAGAGCTCACATCAGAAATCATATTCCAGAAATTTTGAGAAGAGATCATCAAAAATTTAAAACTGAAATAATCTTCATTAAAAAAACTGTATCAGGACAATTTTAACCTCTTCAAGTCTAGGGTTAACTGTTATCTATCCTATATATCCCCATAATCTACAATTCTTATGTCCATAAAAACAACCCATTCAGTAACCCTCTATCTTGAGTGGCTGTTGGGCCTTGTATTGAGTGAACAATAGCATGAAAAATCTACTGATAACTTCTGACAAAACAGATATGAATACATAGAATTGTACAGAAAATATACAAGCAAAACAAAAAAAAATCAGCAAAAATGAGAGAATTGAATCAAGCATGTACAATAATTAAAACATTCTCTTTAACAAGATTCAAACAAGAAAAGATTGACATTTGTTGGATTTGGCCATATTCAAAATGAATATGGCCAAATCATATGCCATTGGATAATGAAAGTAGCAACTGATCCAAATTGATGGTTATGAAATATAAATTATTAAATGAATCTCGCCTCTTTCCAATTAAACAACAAAAAAAGTTTGCAGTGTATATTCTCAAAACATATGTCTGTACATATGCATAGCATATTCATGTCTTTAAAAAGTCATAAATATTTGCTTCTAGGGATATTTTTACAGATAAACAAATTATGTTAAATCATTAATTTTATTATAAGATTGTTATTTGAAATTTATAAAAAAGAATATAATTTTTAATTCTTTTATCATTAATTCTTTTTCTCCTTGAATCCACCTAAAAAATTTTAATTCTTTACTTGAAAATATTCTAATGATGCAGTAAAAACAAACAAGTCTAAAAGATTGATTCAAAAAAGATGAATATACAGAGTGTAATGTGTAAATTGTCACCATTTTATATTTTTAATTTTGCACATGTGTGTTGTTTGTTTTTGTCAATTACACAGTATAGTAGGGTTAGTTGGACACCATCTGTGAGAAAAAGAGTACCATATGCAATTCACTCCATCAGAAATTTTGAAATGGCATGCTGTACTGCTTGGCATTTGTGCCAGAAGCTCCAATATAAACATTTCAGAGTGTTTGGGTGTCAATCTGAGAGCAGTGCAGAGGATTCAGAAAGAGTTGGATGAGTCAAATGGTGATTACGAAAAGAACTCCTGAATTTGTTGGTGAGGGCCTCAGATTCAACATGGGGGCCTAGATCAAGTGCCTAGAGGAGGTAGTGCTGCCTTGGGTCAAGATGGTGGCTGCTGGAATACCCTATGTCTGGTAACAGGAAACTCTGCACCATGTCACACAAGCAGGAGAACTGAGTCATGGCTGTCAGATAATTTCAACTGCATTATCCTTTACATCTGGCAACCTAACTCCCCAGACTGCAACCCGCTTGATTATTATATGTGGGGCACAGTTGAGCAAGAGACCAACAAAACTCCTTGTAGTACCAAAGATGAACTGAAGGCAAGCATTATGGCATCATTCACCAACTTAAACATCCAGAAGAGTTGCAGGAGATTCCAAAGTTGTCTAGAGACTGATTGAATCAAGTGTCAATTTTATTGAATAAATTTATTGTATAGTATTTCAAAATATTTTTGTGTAATTTTGGTAAATATATCTGTTAAAATGAGATGTCGGTATTATTTATCCGTTGCACCTGGTATGAAGGTAAGAACTCATATAAGTATAAATATATATTGAGAAACACTTAAATTGACTAATGAAGGAACAAAATCAAAGATATTAAACAGGTTGACAAACAGGAAATCTCTAGAAGTAACGCTCTTATTTATTTGCATGTAAACTACAAAAAACACCAGCAGAACAGTAACACTATTGGATAGAAAATGTTTTCAGCTACAAAACACTATTTTTTTCACTGACTCAACCCTACAAGCTTTACATTTTTGAACTACACTTCATTTATTGGATCAACAGCTGTGCAGAGCTGCTAAGAATGTGGCTTTTCTCACACACATCACTATGGCCAATACTGAAATGCATAATCCACTGTGTTCGAAAATACTGTTTGGTCTCTATAAAAGTTTTAAAAGTGTTGATGAATGACAACAATTACAATGTTTTCTGCATGAAGGAATTCAGTGATTCACCTTTACTTCATATGCACTTTCATGTCAGATGCCATATTGCCGGACTAATTTTGATGAAGTAAAAAGTGGATTACTGGCAGGAAGGTTTAACTTTTACAGCTATACCTGGAATATCAACCTCAGACATTATGGGCCTGCATAATAAAATAGGAAGTATTTCTTTTGGAGTGGTGCATATGCTCATGTGTGTGGATAGATAAATTGATTTGTTTTTTGTGGATTATCAATTGTTTGCAGGTTATTTAAAGCCAGAAAAAAGACTTTAGACTGTAAGAATATTTTTTTGTAAGATAATAATTTACTGATACAAGTCCTATTAATTAACCCATAGTTGGGTAGAAGCTGGATTCATGCTTTTCCCAATGGTATTTGTGCATAAGTGAATATAATGAATTCGACCAGAATTAAAACTCGGCTTTCTGATTTTCAAATTCGTACCCGCACATCCAATCTTATAACGCCTAGTATTCCCAAGAGGTCATCCATCTAGGTACAGATAAGGCTCAACATTGCTTAACTTCAGTGATTGTACAAGAACTGGTGTATCAACATGATATGGCCGTATATCTAGATAGCTATGAAATTGCTATAAGTGATCATCACACGCACAAAGCATACAAATTTTCTTATCAGATCATAAAAGTACATGGATTAATAAAGAAAAGGAAGAAAAAAAATGAATGTAAGTTAGCTAGGGAAGCACATCGGTTAAGTTAAGTAAGTAATTACGAGCTAGGCAAAGAAAGATAAATAAAGGAATCTATCAAAAGAAGTTTAACGAGATAAAAAAAAAACATTTTTAAACATTTTGTCTTGATAGTTGCATTGTTAAAGAAGGATTTTGGAAAAAGGATTATTTAGATTTAATTTTTTCTTTATTTATTGACACTAGGCAAAAACAGAGAGTACTGTACACAGATAATCACTGTTCTTATTTATCAGTTAGGATTCCTAGGTAATATGTTTCAACATGGATATATAGAATTAATTAATTAGATTATTAAATAAACTGAATCAGACACATTCACATCACAACAGATGTTTTAAAAAAGACATGGTAATTTTGAATTAAAAAGGGCCAAAGTTTAAAGAAGCAACAAATGCAAAAAAGAAAAAAATCCAAGATTTTTTTCTGTTTGAATAGAGTCAAAATATTCATTCCTACCTCAGTGCTTGTAAAAAAAACATACAGGTGAGTAGCTCTGTATGTGTTTCAGTGGTACAGGCAGAAGTTAGAACAATAGAAATAACAACAAAAAGGTACCTCAAGTAGTGGCTGGTACTACCATAGAATAGTTCTTAGTATTAACATCAAAACCAAAAGATAAGCAGAAGCTGAACAAAAAATTAACTCTTTTTCTCTCACATCCAAAATACAATTTAGCAACTGTAGCTTGTATTCAATAGCAAGTCCTGATGCTGGGAACCCAGTTAGTGGGAAATAACTGGTTTTAAAAATGTACTACACATGCATTTTTTAATTCCTATGCCTCTGGTTATCAATCAGATATCAGTTTTTCTTAGTCTTCTTATTTTAAAATTTAGTTAGTTATTCTGAAGTTAGTTATTTTTGCTTGGAGAATGAAATTGTACGATGATTTATTTTCATTATTTTTTATGTGTAATAAAGAAAATAGAAGTGTACATAATTAAAAAAAAGCTCTGTTTGGTGTTTAACATTTTTTTAAATAGTTTTTAATACTGAAAAATAAGGATTAATAGATAGACTGATCAGCTATAATATTTAATGCTGGAAAATAGGGATTAGAAGATATAATGAAGGATAGACTGATCAGCTACAATGAAGAAAATTAAAGATTTTATTCTTAAGAAGAAATTAAGATTCTCAGAGAATGAGAATTGCAGAAAGGATAATGTTTTGATAGAGCAATGTGGCAAGTGTGAGTGTAATCAATTACAAAAGGTGCTGGAAAAAAATCAGGATGGGCTGACTCAGCCAGGAGGGTGGTTGAAGGACCCAGAACTGAAAACAATAAAGTCTTAAGTTTATAAAACAAGTGTGTAAGCTGTATTTTAAAAATAGGCAATCTTGAGAATTGATGAATGATGGTCATTAAAAATGCTGGTTACCAAAACACAACAGAAAGCAGCCGGGTGGGCGTTAAAGAAGTGTTGATTCAGGATATAGAATGCAGATACAATCTGTCCGCTAGAAGTAGAAAACAGAGATTCTTAGTAAATAGGCATAGAATTTAAGGAGCAACTGATCAAGAAGGACCACGTGTTAAATACCAGAATTTTGACAAGGTGAAAAAAAGACTTGTGTAGACAAATTTCAAATGATAATTTTAATTCTTAATTGTGACAAGCTGGAAAACCCTACATAAGCAAAACATCAAGGAGATAAGGTTTTCTAACTGATGAAGTAAATTGAGTCATGCCAAAATGACTGAGAGGCTATTGGCCGGGTGATAGTCATGGTGGCAGGTGCAGCTAAGACAACAGGAAAGGTGGAGAAATTATTAACACCATTCAATAGGTGTTAATGTAAGATACCAACAGATGAAAGGAATATAGGCAAATCAATATCCTATAACTATACCCCACAAAAGAGAAGGTCTTACCAAAAATTGCAAGCATAAGTGATTTTAAACAATGGACCTTTATTGGATTTAGAGGAGTCACCGAAACCCCAGACTACATCTTGCTTCACACTGATATGGGGTGAGAGCTCATATAAGCAAACACACAAGGCCGAGAAGTGAGAACCGTGGAGAATTCTGTTGAGCACTGTTAAGAGTCCATATTGAAGACTGACTAGCTCACTGAGACTGCCCATATGACTCCTGCCAAGAACAAGAACTCCGACTTTGAAGAAAAACTAGGCTAAAACCAAGAATCAATCTTCACTCTTGTACCAACAAAGTCAATATGAAAAGCTAAAAGCATTAAAGTTAACGCCGAAAAACAGAACAAGTTAACATTGAAAAGCAGAATTACACTAACACCAAAACAGAACAAACTCCTTATTGAAAATAGAATTTCGTAATCCACCTCTGAGAACTTGACCAAGTGTCACATTCTTTTAAGATGGGTTGGGACAATACTTTTTGTAAACTAAAGAACTAATATAAAGGTGAAACTTGTTACTTATTAACTGTGCATCATATTTTGTTTTATTTTTCATTTTTATTGATACGCACTCTCATCCTAGCAGATTGACTTGGTACCAAAGATTCCGACAGCAACCAGACCTGACTGTCTTATGATCTTAAAAATACACAACATGGGATAGGGCAAAGGTCGGGACTGGAAAAGTTACCTCGGTAACTTACTGCAGTGTCTTATATCTTGAACAAGAACGAGGGCTTGGGTGCTACATATTTGGATCTGACCAAAAACCTTAGAACCCAGAAGATGGTAAGTTATTGGTCTCATGACCAAAGGCAACTGAAACCAAGGATCAGCCCCCAAAAGACGTCACAGTATTGTATTTTTTCTTGCATATTATTGATCAAGTCAAGTGTTTCAAATGTATATGGTTGTTAGTTTGTTTTTTAATCATGTGTTTGTAAAAAAGAAAAAAAAAGTTTGTTTTCACATGTAAAATTTTCAAAAGTAGGATCATCATGTGCATTACAAATGTATGAGAATGTTCATGTGGAAAATTATATCTAAGATCATATTTTTAAATCTTTCATTTAAGGAGAAATAAACATCACGAAAATATCACACATTTATTGATTAATTCTCCTTTTTTATTGTTGCCAATGTGATGAAGATTAAGTTGTTGTATTTATTGGTTTTTAGGTAAACATTTGTTGTGAGTGCATATCAGCAGTGTCATAGGCAGGCATGAAATGTGGAGATTTGTATGTCTAGTTAAGAAGAAGCTTTATTGGTGCCATATGTGTGAACTAACAATTTTGAAGATTTATCTATCAGTGTGTAGTGGGCCCCCTGGAAGTGAGGGGATGCAATATAACATGGCCTGTGCACCCCAATATAGATAGTCAAAGGAGGCCTACTAATGTTTATAAATTAAAGATGTGAGATCTGACAGGTCAGCAAAAAGACAACAAATGACAAACTTAAAATTAATACAAAATTTATTTAGAATATAGATCATAACCCTTGTCGGTTAAATTAGTGGGCAAGTCCACAGCTTGAAAGTTCAGTTCACATGTCCTGCAAAAGTACTGAAAAGTTTCTGGTTAAGTCTAATGATGAACCCTCCATAGTATTTTAACCAAAGTAGGTTATTTGAAGTCTGAACAATATAGCCAAAAAGAAAGTTCAGTTTAAATGTCCAGTGCTGGAGTTGAGTAGTTCCTGGTTAATTCCAATGGTGAACCTTCTGTAGTATTATAAATGAAGTATATGGAATAAGTTAGTTCAAGCCTGGACACTATAGGCAAGGAGAAGAAAGATCAGTTTAATGTCTGGAGCTGAGTAGTTGCTGGTCAAGTCCAATGTTGGAACTTCCATAGCATGACAGGAAAGCCAGAAGCAGGGACTAGTGTAGCTGGAAGTTCAAGGATATTGTGAGCAGGTCCATTAATGCAAATCAACCAAGTGAGTTAACTTGAGATAATGGCCGGAAATAATGAAGGCCAGGAATGCTAGAAGATAAAGGTCCATGATAGCCGGAAGTAGTAAAGGCTAAGAATACCAGAAGTAAGGGTCTGTAGTAGCTGGAAGTAGTAAAGGACAAGAGTGCCAGAAGTAAGAGTAGATAAAAAAGCCCAACTAGTGTCCAGTTGGCAGAAAAAATAAATGAGAATGTAACTCAATGTATAACCTATCCAAGAACCTGCATTTTTCCTCCTCATCTCCCTCTCTGTGTTCAGTGAAAAAGTCACCGTGTTATATGAAAAGGGAGTGTAAACACTAACTGGTCTTGCAAAATACTAAAAATCTCAAGAAAAATAAACCAGAGGTGCTACGAAATTTAAAAGATATAAAAATGTTCACAATGTGTTTTATGACTAGGTTCATAACACTGAAAGAACTACAAAGTCATAAGGCTTATTATGAAACTAAATGAACCTAAATTGAAGGGAGTGGGCAACATAATTAAGAAAAGGTCAAAGTCATAACATCTGCCCTTGGAGTAGTGAAGGGCTACAATAAATCCCAATTGCTACAATTTTTTTTTTCAATTTTCTTGTAATTTATGGTGAGTTGACATTGAGAAGATGAAATAGAGAATAATAATATTATTAATAATTATAATAATAATAATGATAATAATCCATGTGTTTGGAGACAAGTTGTCAGGAAGCGAGATGCAGAACTAAGTACAAAAACTGACAAGTGAGTCCATTTACTTAAAATCAGCTAGCTTTAATGTGAAAATCACAACAGCTTCCTCTTTCTCTAGATTCCAAAGAAGACAATGGTTCTGAAGTTGTACACATACGGTTCTAAAAACAGGAATTGTCATCATCATCATTATTAGCAACAGTAACATGAATCAGGGATGAGAAGGATTCGGAGGAGTAGGAGAATATTGGTAGAAAAAGCAAATAATAGGTATGCAGCAGCAGCAGCAGCAGAAGTTGATGATGACAAGATGGATTAAGTTGAGAGAGAGAATGAAG